GGGTGACAGAGTGAGACTCTGTCTCAAAAAAAAAAAAAAAGCATGTTCATCTCAGGCTCTTTGGCCATTCTCATTGTTGTCCTGATCCTGAGGCTAGTTATGACCATAGCTGCAAGACAAGTGAAGGGCTTTATGCTTCCTTGTTATTATCTACTGGAAGAGAGACTGACTGGTTAGTGCTCTCAAGTGTGTAGGAAAACTTCCCAGAAGCTTTCAGCAAAATATTTTTGTTCTCATTGGCCAGACTTGAGTTATTTGTCCATTTTTGAACCAAGGGTAATCCCATTCTCAAGGCAATCATGACCTTCAGTGAAGACCAGCTTATGATCATGTTATTGCTAACCGATGGGAGTGTGATGAAATGAATGTTGGAGTCAACCAAAATGTTTACCATTGTTAGGCATCATGAATTATCTAAAAAATATTTACTGAGTATTTGCTTTATGCAAGACTTTGTCTTATTTTCAGTGAGTTTCTTAAACAATATAGGGAGAACAGGAGAGGGGACAAGGATCTTTCCTTCAATTGTACCCAACAAGGATCATGTGTACGAGTAGTTATTTGATTGAAAATTTGATGTGTTCTAGAAAAGATAAAAGATCAGCTTATTGTAACAGGTGAAACATTGGGAACCTGGTAATTTGTGAATGCTTGTAAAGCATGAGGAATATACTTGTTCAAATTTCTTATATAAAAGCTCATGAAAGTAAATCATGAAACTAATACTCATCCTTTTGTGATTAAATTTTAAACACTTTATGGATTTTACATGCCAATATCCCATGGTATTGTTTAATACAGTTTTAAGTGACCTATTAAGTGACTTGAATGTTGTTTGACAACTCTGTGTAAAGCTCTTTGCTACTTTCACTGTAAAGATCCTCAAACCTCTTTATAGAGAAGGATTTTTCACAACAATATTTCTGTGGAAGATTATCATGAATCTTTGCCATTAAAATTCGATTGGAAAGAAATAGGACTTACTCAAAATTCCCTAGGAGAGGCCCATTAGGATCAGGAAAATAATGCAGCAGTTTTTTTCTACGTTATATCCAGGATTTTAACTTAAGATATTTTTGTGTGCTACTTGCTGTTCCTGGTTTTGCCCCACTCCCCAAAGTGCTTTCTTAGATCTATAATGAATTAGGTGTCACAGACCGACATGCAAGGCATTGATCTCTGTGTTGCCATTTCAGCCTAAAATAGAGAGTTCCCCCTGCATTTGTCAGCAGCTCATTTACCCTTTCGACCTGTTTCACAGCAGCAGGAAAACATCCATCAAAGATGGCCAGAAGGACTCCTGGGTCCAGTCCTCCAGTTATGTATGCTCTTGAATCCAGTCCTACGTTCAAATCAGACTAGCCGTCTAGGATCTCTTAGCCATAGAATGCTGCTTTTGAAGCCATCTCAAGTTTAAATATCTGATCAGGTTTGGAATGTTCACGATGCCTTTATTCTGCATGTGTGAAAGTCTTTCCTCAGGCAGGAAAGACCCTCTAGCCCTCCTGAGTTCTCCTTAGTAGTGTTTGTTGAGTGCTTTCTGTGTACCAGGGTTCTTAGGGATACAGTATTTTCATGCTACCTTGCCAAAATTATGAAAATCAACATTAACAAAGTTATGAAAACTAGCATTAATTTTTCTATACTTGGACTTACTATCTGTTTGGCATTCCATTCCATCTGAAGGCAGGACGCACAAATCTAGTTTTCTCTATTTCTTTTCTACAGCTGCTTCTGATTTAAATCCAGTCAAATCAGAATTTTTCCTCCCTCTCTCCTTCCCCCACTGGTGGCATCTAAGCACTGGTATGTTTGCATGGTGACAGTGTCATGGGCCTGTGGAAGCCCTTTGCTCTCCCTGTTTTTTTTTTTTTTTTTTGAGACGGAGTCTCACTCTGTCGCCCAGGCTGGAGTGCAGTGGCGCAATCTCGGCTCACTGCAAGCTCTGCCTCCCAGGTTCATGCCATTCTCCTGCCTCAGCCTCCTGAGCAGCTGGGACTACAGGCACCCGCCACCACGCCCGGCTAAGTTTTTGTATTTTTAGTAGAGATAGGGTTTCACCGTAGCCAGGACGGTCTCTATCTCCTGACCTCATGATCTACCCACCTCGGCCTCCCAAAGTGCAGGGATTACAGGCATGAGCCACCACGCCCAGCCTCTCCCTGCTTTTTATAGCGATGTTCGCTGCAGTCCCTATTGATCTGTGTGGTCTTTCTAATAAGTTAGCCTTTCATGACACTCTCCTCTGGGGTGTCCACTTTCCTATCTGGCCCATGGCTAGAAGGTGTCTGCAGCACAGCCTACCCAGTATGCAGTGTCAACACCCATCCCTTCACCCCCAATGTGTGACTTCTTTGGGTCAACAAGCCTGCTCTGTCAGCAAAACGTCATCTCTACCCTTAGATCCTTTACCACACCTACAAAGTCCCTTTGCCACGTGAGGTAACATAGTCATAGGTACCACAGATTAGGAGGAGAACATCTTTGGAGAGACGTGATTCAGCATACCACAGTCACTTTGATATTTACCAACTAAAAACATGAGTATCTTCCCCTCGCTGCTCTGCTTCTTTAAGGGGAGTACATTAATATGATTTTGACTATAAATATTAATGTTTTTCTTAAATTGTCTTTATTATAAATGTGTGCTCATCATGAAGAGATATGAAATGGCACTTGTAATCTCTGTAAGACCTAATTTTCAGTGGGATAGTGATTATTTCAATGACCTCTACAATGCTTGTTTGGTCAGAACATAACTCATTTCTTATGGTTAGTGCTGTCCAAAATGAAGTGCAAGATGATTTATTTGTATTTGTAGGAAGAAAGTATTAGTACACTTATGCATATTTATATGTTTGAAAGTAAAAATTTTAAGTTTTTCTAATCACTCATGGAAGGATTGACACACATATACCTTTTTGGCTGGGTTTGTCACACGTGGTATAGAGAACATGATATATTCTGAAGGCAAATGGGAGTTCCATATTGTGCAGAGGTTAATACGGGTGCCCTCTCTTGATCATTTGCTTTCAGCATGTTGTGATGTATTGTGGCATCATCTTGCAAGCAAGATGTTTAAAAACTAAGCAGGAAAAACATGAAGAAAAACTCCTACAGTTTTTTTCAGTGATGTTTAAAGTCAAGTAAGAGTTCAACCTATCCTGATAGGATATAATATACTATCTGTAATGATAGATGTTTAGAAGCTTCTGATATTTTATTACGTAGTAGCAGATGACAGAGGTGAATACCTTTCTTTGCTCTTCCTTCCTTTAAACTTCCTGAGGTTAAAATGACTGAAATAACATATTGAAAATAACATGGAGATGCCTTTGTCAGCAAATTTTGCTGGAAGATGCACAGAAAACATTGAAGTTCAGAAGAAATGAGTATGAGAACAAATAATTCAGTGTGGGAGGTTTGCTACATAGTGTGTTTGTCCCTATCATAGCTTATGGTATTTGCAAAATTCTGTTGACAAAATACAAGAACTGCTACTATTAATGAGCCATCCAAAGAAAAACATTCCAGAAGACAAATACTAAACAATAAGTTACTTCTTTATTAAAAACTATGATAAAATTGTAAGCTTACTTAACATTGATGGAATAACTATTTTGGAATACAAGGATTCCAGAACAAAGTTTTAGATAGCCTCAGATTTTATCATTACTAACATACTATTTTTACTGCATAATTTGTTGCTAGTTTTAGCCTTAAAGAAATGGAAGCCAGAACTTTATAAATGTGGTTAATTTTATAAAAACGAGGTCTTTACTAGAGTAGAATAACACTTTGTAATGAGATGAAGAATGACCTTGAACATTTTGTTTTGTTACAAAATTGTGGGGTGGCTTTGTTTTCATTACTTTGGCCATAGTTGAAAATGTTCTGCATTTTTTATTTTTCAAAAAAAGCGCTTTCCAAATGTGTTGAACTTTTCCTTGATAAATGGTTGTCATAGTTTCCCTGACAGATATTTAAAATACAAATACAAACTGAATTATATTTTCTTGCCAGATAAATGTCACCATTTAAAAATAAATAGGAAAACATTTTGAAAGAAATGTGATAGACTGTTTTCAAAATTAGTATTTTAAAAGTTTCCATTGTGGCCGGGCGCGGTGGCTCACGCTTGTAATCCCAGCACTGTGGGAGGCAGAGGCGGGCAGATCACAAGGCCAGGAGAGCAAGACCATCCTGGCCAACATGGTGAAACCTCGTCTCTACTAAAAATATAAAAATTAGCTGGGCGTGGTGGCGTGCACCTGCAGACCCAGCTACTCAAGAGGTTGAGGCAGGAGAATCGTTTGAACCTGGGAGGCAGAGGTTGCAGTGAGCCGAGATTGCGCACTGCACTCCAGCCTGGTGACAGAGCCAGATTCCATCTCAAAAACAAACAAACAAACAAAAAAAGTTCCCGTTGTTATACATTTTTTGCAAACAAACTATTTCATGCATAAAAATTCTCATCAGAAATTAATATGTTTAAAACTATTTTCAAATGATATATTTTATCAGGGTTTGAACAAATTTATGAGAATATACACAAAAGGAAGAGTCAGTGACTATCGTGGAATGGAAATTTACTAGCTCATTTTTAACAAAGCCTCAGCTCAACTGGTAGACGCCATTGAGTAATCAGTGCCAGGATTTAGTAAACCAGCCGCAGACCAACTCTTTTTACCTAATTTTTGTATCTACATCCCTTTGTGATAGCCATGCAGACCAAGGATGCCCACACACTAGCTCACAACCAAGTCTCCATTCTTGATCAACCAAGATATTTTGTAAAAATAAAGACTATTAATCATACTATGTTTGCAAAAAAAAAAAAAAAAAACCAAAAAGAAAACCCATCAATTTTGAAGGAGGCACGTTTGTTCTTTTATAAAGCTTATAAATAGTGAAAATACTGCTTTTATCTTTATCTCTTTTTTACCTTTTTAGCGTAGTTTAATGATATACACAAAATGTAGTGTTGTATAAGATTTATACATAAATATGCATATTGGGGGCCTATATGCATCTGTATTTGTTTTAAACCGAAATGTCTTATTTAAAAAGATGAGATGAAAAGGTTTAAAGTCCTCGCAATGGAAAGCCAAAATAGTGAAGTAAACTGATGAAGGTGCCTTTTAATTCCCTGTCGAGTCTTCCCATCTTACATCCTTGTAATGTATCTTTATGACTCCATGTGAAGGGGATTGCATTAAAACACATTTGCATCTTTGGAGAATTGGAGCGTTAGCCGTAGGATGCACTCTTTTGCTTGTTTCGTTATACCTGTAGTAGAATCTTAAACCCTTACACACGAGTCTTCATTTGAAAAGCTGTTGGTGATCAGATAAAACACTGTCTCCCCTTAATTTTGTTTTTATTTATTTATTTTTCCACAAAAAGCTGTTTGTCTTCCAAGTCCTTGAGGGTTCAATTCAAGTTTTCTAATTATTTTGCATTGTCTTTCTGACAATTAGCACTTAGAACGTGGGACAGGATGGTATAAAAGGTGAAGACAGCAGTTAAAGAGTGACACTATCTGAGGCTTAGTGGCTTCCTGCACATGTAACCTTGATGGCCTTACTTTTCCTCCCTGTGCCTCAATTTTTTCACATGTAAAACAAAAGTGAAACAGGGATCACTAGTAGCACCTCTCATGAGCTTCTTGTGACCAGGAACTGAGTAAATTCACTTGAAGCTCTTGGAAAGGTGGCTGGCGAATAGAAACAATAGATGTTAACTCTTAGCTTTTTGTACGAAGTAATTCCTATGCTGTTTTCTACAAAACTTTATTTCTGCTTTCCAGATGAAACAGGATTGACCCCATTTTAGAAAAATCAACAATAAATGGCACTTAATGAGACTATGTTCCTAAATCTGCATTTCTTTGTGAGAATTTTGATTTTGCAGGTTCTTCGTATTCATAACACTAGGTGGCAGTGTTAGCACAGACGGGGGAAAAATACTGCAGGTTTCCCCATTCCCCCATTTCCCTTTCCAGTTTTATAACTTTTTAGACAGCCTTTGAACCACTGATCAGTCCATATTAGTAGTCTGGGGACACCCCAGTGCCGAGTCCTACAGGACACTGGCTGAGGGATTAACAGGACATTTCAATGATCATTGCCTCGTAGGAGCAAATGTGGTCCGTTGCGATGCGAAGAAACTACCTCCTAATTTCTCTATCAGGGGCTTGCACAAGGCTGTTTTTCTGCACAAAAGCTGACTTAGGAACGCTTTAGCTCACTATGCAGAGGCCTGGAGAGTCCTTGATTTTCCTGGAGCGAGCTGGCAGCTTTGACAGAGGCTGTCACGTTTTAGGAATCTCAATGGTCCCCCAGAAAATAAGCCAACGGCCTTGGGAGGGTGGGATTTTGCTGAAGTCATTTCTTTGTGACACTGTGGGAGAGGAAAGTATTTGCCAGGTCACTGGGGTCCTGACTTTAAAATCTGCCAGTTTTTACACTAAAATGTTTATTCTTTTTAGATGATTACCCGGAGCTCCTCTGAGAAAAATAGGAGTAGATTGCTGCAATTACCATGGGTTAAAATGAAAGATGGGATGACCTGGCTGTACAAAGGCATAGGGACTCAGGCAGACGAGAACTCCTGCTCCTTCTCTGAATCGGATTTTCCTGACTGTATATATATATATATATATATATATATATATATATATAGAGAGAGAGAGAGAGAGAGAGAGAGAGAGAGATCTATCAATTTATCATGCCTCCATAAATCTGCATGCACACATGTACATATATACACACACACATATTTTTGTTTATTCATTCAACCTGTAAATATTTGAGTGCCCACTGTGTGCCAGTTACTGATCTCAACAACACAGATGAAGCAGTGAACAAAACAGATAACGTCGCCCCTCTTATGGAGCTTATATTATATTGTAGTGGGGGGACACATCAGGTGGTAAACACTGTGAAGTAAAGTGATATAAAAGGATAGAGAGTGGTGAGGAATACAGGGGATTCTATTTATTCTGTTTAATTTGTATGGATACATAATAGTTGTACATATTTATGGTACATGGGATGTTTTGATACAAGCATACAATGTGTAATGTCAAATCAGGGCAATTGGGGTATCACCTCAAGCATTTATTATTTCTTTGTGTTGGGAAAATTCCAATTCCACTCTCTTAGGTATTTTTAAATGGGCAACAAGCTATTGTTGACTATAGTCACCCTATTGTGTATTTCTATCTAACTGTATTTGTACCCATTAACCATCCCCATTTTATCCTCCCCACAGCCCTTCCCAGTCTCGGGTAACCATTATTCTCCTCTCTATCTCCATGAGTTCAATTGTTTTAATTTTTAGCTCCCACATATGAGTGAGAATATGTAAAATTTGTCTTTCTCTGTCTGGCTTATTTCACTTAACATATTGTCATCTAGTTCCATCCAAATTGTTGCAAATGACAACATTTCATTCTCTTGTGTGGGTGAAAAATATTCCACTGTGTATATGTGCCACATTGTCTTTATCCATTCATCCATTAATAAACAGGCTGATTCCCTGTCTTGGCTATTGCGAATAGTGCTGCAATAAGCATGGGAGTGCATCTCTCTCTTTGATACACTGATTTCCTTTCTTTTGGATATATACAGTGATATATATATTCTTTTGGACATATATATTCTTTTGGATCCAGCAGTGAGATTGCTGGATCATATGGTAGTTCTATTTTTTAGTTTTTTAAAGTAACCTGCATACTGTTCTCCACAGTGGCTGTGCTAATTTACATTCCCTCCAACAGTGTACGAGGGTCCTAGGGGATTCTATTTTAGATAGGAATTTGCTTGGGAAATTGAGTATGCTGATGTCTTAGCAGAAACCTGAATGAAGTGAAGCAGTGAGATGTGCACCTTTCTAGGGGAAGAATATTCCAGCCAGAAGGAAGAGCACACAGGTGCTCTGAGGACATCGGTGGGTAAGACTTGGGGGCAGGCAGGGGCAGATACAGATTGATGGAATCTGAAACTTAATTAAAGTCTGTCACCCTCTTTAAGAGAGAATACAAACTTAGGTGCAAATACGAATATTTAGAATAAGAAAATCCCATGAAATCACAAAATTAAAAAAGCTGATAAACTGTGTATGCATAGTCCAGTAAGGCATTTTTATTCATTAACTGCCTGACACATCTGTGTCACTTTTCCTACAGTTTTGCCTACACACTCTGCTTCTTCACAGGTTTCTGATGGATAATAGATAATTTAGTCTTTCTCTTAGCATAGTTGAGCCAAATATTGACAGTTTATGCATTTCTTTCAGCTTTACGCTTCTTTTTGGTTATGCCATATAAATTTCTACGATTCTCAAAATTGGGAAAACCATCTTAGAAATTTTCTTTGCATGTGAGCTGTAATATTTGGAAGAATTTTCATGGATTAGCTTCTGATTTTGTTCATTTCAAATCTTGTTTTCTTCTACTGCTGAACGCTTCTAAAGCTGGCTGCCATGTTCATAACTCATTTGACTTATGCCTTACATCTTCATATCACAATATTGCAGGGAGGGTCAGCACAGAGAGGGACAGGCATTTCCTTGAAACCGTTTCCGTTCCTATGTAAACCAATACATAGAAGCGACTGCAAGCCACATGACTGTATCCCACTCACACAAATGACACATCTTTAAATCAACTTCCCTTCTCCAGGTCCTACAAACACCCACGGCCACCCCACTGCCTTCTGACAAGAAGGAAGATCTAATAGAGGCAAAGTAGAAATGAAAAGAGGCAGAGATGTCCACTGATTGTGGTTAAGATATTTTTCTTTTGCAAACTTTATAAACTCTTATGACTTTGTAAATGCATTACTGTCCAAGTAAGGGGCCTACACCTTAAGCTTCATGAGCTCCATGGCAATCCACCTCTGGGGGAACAGGAAGATACTCCTGCCCTACTGTTAAGTCATTGAGGGAAAGGAGGTCTGGAGCATAGGATTTGTTTGGGAGATTAACCTAATATAACTCAGTGTTCAAAACATAATGAACAGACCATAGCTAACAGATTTCCCGTCTTTTACCTTTGTGCTTCACCAACATGTATGTCATGAAACCATGGCATAAAAAGACCGCAGCTTTGGGAGTGATGATTTCACTGAAAGTGCAGTGGTGGATAAAGGGGAAGCAGGGTTAGGTAATTTCACTGGTAAGTTACTAGTCATTTTAACATTGAAATATTTTTAAAAATATAATTCTCATTTGTAAAGTATGCAGATTGCATGTGACTTTTTTTCTTTTTTTTTTCAAGATAGGGTCATGCTCTGTCACCTAGGCTGGAGTGCAATGGAACATTATCAGCTCACTGCATCCTCAGCCTCCCAGAGGGTTCAAGCCATCCTCCCGCCTCAGTCTCCCAAGTAGCTGAGACCACAGGTATGCATGACCAAACTTGGCAATTGTTTTTTCTTGTAGTACAGATGAGGCTCTTACTATATTGCTCAGGCTGTTCTTGAACTACGGGCTCAAGCAATCCTCCCACCTTGGCCTCCCAAAGTGGGATTACAGGTGTGAGCCACTGTGCCCGGCAGCATATGACTGTTTTTTTTTTTTTTAAGCTAAAACAAACTTCCAGGAGAATTTGTCCCTTGCAATGGCCTGGTTTAGGGACATCACCTCTTCTTCAGTTAGGGTTTCTTCAGTAGAGAAATGTAGAGAAGTTGCATCCTATATAGACTATGACCCCTTGTCTAGAAAGGTGACACTTCTGACAACACTGGAGCTGACAAGTTTTCTTCCTAGTTATGGTTATTTGCATGATTTATTTGTGGGATGAGAAATTATCTAGGAGAGAGGCTAAGATTGCAGGTTCTGGCACCGAATTTCCTGTACCGGACTCCACTGCTCACTCCTTGGGTGAGGAATCTCTCTGTGTCTCAGTTTTCTTTATCTGTAAAATGGGGATCATAATAGTACTACACAGATCATGCCGTTGTTATGAGCATTCCCTAAATTAATTTTGGATGTAGGACAGTGACTTGGTACAAAGTCAGTGTTCAGTCCTTGCCAGCTACTTTATTGTTTTTTAATTGACAAGTAGTAATTATAGGTATTTATGGGATACCATGTGATGTTTTGATGTATGTTTACCTTGTAGAATGATGAGATCAAGCTAATTAAAAATCCATGGCCTAACATATTTATTTTTTTGTGTGTGCAGGGAAAACATTTAAAATCTACTTTTAGCAATTTTGAAATATACAGTGCATTATTATTAACTATAGTCGCCATGCTGTGCAATAGATCACTGAAGCTTATCCCTCCTGTCCAACTGAAACTTTGTCCTCTTTGGGGAACGTTATCTCCTTTCCCCATTATCCCTCCCCCAGCCTCCCGTACCCCCAGCCAGCTACTTTAATGATCTCTCCGTGTTTCTTCTCAGCCTTTCCCTTCTGTTATCCTCAGTCTGTGCTGGTAAGAGAATTAGCTGAAATTCATGGTGCCACTTCTGGAACATGTAAAAAGGCTCAACTAATCAAGATGGGATGTGTCACCAGGCCTCATAAGGGCCACGGTCATATTTTTAAAAATTGTCTTAGAGCAGAAATGTTTTCCCCAAATAAAATCATAAAAAGTGTGGATGCTTAGGTTGAACCAGAGAATCAGGGGGCCCGCAGAAGCCCAGTCTAGTATCACCAACCCTCTCTTGCAGGGTCCTGAGAACCCTCCAACACCTTATTGTTTCATAGAACACAGTTTGAAAAGCCCTAAAACTTGGCAAATTCTCTTTCCTAAATTTCAAAAGAAAAGGCAGGTATTTGTCTAAATACAGCCAGGCCATCCTGTCATGTTAATGAGGCTGGATTTACTAAGGGCAATTTACTCACCGATAAATCTGCAGAGCTGTGTTTGAGGTTGGCTTTAATCTTGTCTACCAACCAAACCTCTCACCAAAATTTCAAATTGACTGACTTGAGTTTCATCTCTAGTTTCTGCCTTGCTTATTTGTATGGTTTTAGGGAAGACAATAAAGGAAGGAAATTGAGGGTGGGTTGCTTTCATTTTAGATTCCACTAACATTTATTGAACGTCTAGACCCTGTGACATGAACTCTCATTATTAACCTGTAAAGTGAGTATTTATATTTTAAGATGACTAAAGTGAGGCTCACAGAGGTTAAAAGCCTTGTTCATAACAGAACTGAAATGAGTTACAGACTTTTTTTAACCCAAAGTTGTAGATTTTTATACCCACTGTATATTGCAATGTGAAAATGGTAACATCTTGCATTTATATAAAGCTCTGTTATGTATAAAACAACCTTTCCTTTTGAAAATCTTGCCATTTGGAACTCAGATATAGTTCTTTTTTTTTCCTTTTTTAAAAAAACTAATTATTGGTTCTCAAACTAAAGATGACAAAATCTAGTCTGTGAAAATCAGTCAAAAACCAAAGACCACTTAAGAGATGTACCTGGGATTCAAACCAGTTCATCTGGCAGCAAACCATTCCCAGCCCACTACACCCCAGAGTGACAGCCTTTACCTCTTGTATCCAACCTCAGCCACTTTCCTGGTAAAGTGTGTGCTTGGTGTCCCCTAAATCAGGATTTTAAAAATATGCATCACCTTGGCTTCTTTTGCTCCATGGGAGCCCAGCCCTCTCTGATCATAAGCACCGCAAGCTTCCCTTTATTTTTCAACAATCGTTTCATTTATGCCTGGCTCCAGGTGGCAGGAGGGCTGGCTGTTTAAACTCTTTCATGACAAAGGAAAAAGAGCCTTATTGCCTAAGAGAGGTGATGGGAGGGAGATAGTACTTTGTATCCATTAAATGTCCAGCCTAAACTAACCTCGGATCTCTGAAGCCCTGCTGTGGTTAGAAAATAACATGAAGAGGAGTGCCAAGACCTGGATTCCAGTACCGCCTTTTAAAACACTGTTATCTTGGGGAAGTCACTTTACCTCTTCAGCCCTTGGGTTTCTGGTCAATAAAATGAGATGTTCGGACGCATGCCTGAAGTGGGCTTTTCTCACCAGTAGGGGGCAGGCAAATACAACTCCTGGGTGCTTCGGTAGCTCACACAAGGGTAAATAACGAAAAGTTTTAATACAAACTTAAAAATTAAAAAAAAAAAAAAAAAAAAAAAGTAAAATAAAACCCAGGGCTTCTGATAGGGCCTTTGAGTACTCTCAACTCTAGCCCTTCATGTTATTTGGGTTCAATTACATGCATTGCATGCCACAATAATGTCTAGCATTTGAGAGCTTACTGTGTGGAAGCTTACTCTACGGAACGTGTTACCTTTAATCCCCAGGACAACTGTGCAAGGTGGGCATGATCCACGTTTTACCCGGAAGGATCCTGAGGCTCACGGAGGTCATGTAGCCTGACAAAGGTTACCCAGCTAGCAACTGGCAAAGCTAGGAGGTAGTGCAGATCCGATCACTTCTAAGCCAGACTCTGCATTTATATTTTGCTGGTTCCTATAGTTCCTCTCTCTCACAGCCCCCTGGGTGTGTGCATATGGTCCACTCCATCACTACAGTCATGAAGGATAATGCCATGGAAACATTTTTCTCTGTGTTTGAGTGATTCTGATTTCATGAAATGATAGAAATTATAATTATGTTAAATATTGTCAGAACATTATTTCTGGAATAGTACATGATTAACTTGTATTGTCTCCATTCATCCCACAGAGCTCTGGGGCCCACATTCAACACTCCTTTGTTCTTCCTGGAGGCTGTTCTCCACCAGCGCCTCTCCTATTCTCTCTCCCTGAAGCTTACAGCTACAAATGCCCATAGGAATCAACACAAACTCTCCCATCCAGCCTCTATTGTTTGCCATTTGCCCCTTCCCATCTCACCTTGGCTAAAGTTTTGCTTTGACCTGCTATTTCCAGTTATATCAATCAATGTATGTTTCTTAACAGTAGCCACCATTTGAACTATTCTCTCATAGTTGCCATATTCAGTTACTTAGTATTTTTAACATCACATTGAAAATGTATCCTTCAAAATACTTTCATTGAATATCATTACCAAACTCTGAACATGACTTTGCTTAACTTTTATTTTCTATTTTATTAATTTAATCACCTTGTATTTTGCCTCTCAGATCTCTTGTTTCATGTGCTTACAGTGTATTCCTAACTAGATGCAAATTTCTTGAAATCACTGGTATTTGATTTCTCCAAGTATTTAGTTGAGTATTAATAATAAAATACTGAGCTGGATGCTATTTCTAATCCTAATTAATGAGGCAGGAAGCCGATCAGGTGCATCATTTCATAGCTCAGTCAGTCATCAAATATTAAGTGCCCCCTGGGGAATATTGTGGGAACCTATAATGTTCCAAATTCTATGCTTTGTGCTTTAATACATGGTCTCATATCATTCTCCCAAAAACCCAGTGGAGAAAACACCATTATTATCATTCACAATTAACAAGTGAGATAGCCAATAAAGGAAGGAAATAAAGGAAGGAAATTAACAAGTGAGATAGCCAACAAGTGAGATGGCCAAGTGAGATGGCCAAGAGTCTTATTCAAAGTCACAGTGCTGACCAGGGTGGGATTTAAATACAGGGAGTCTGACCCCAGCTAAAGCTCATGACTTTAATCACTCCTGTATCCCACCTTATATCCAGACTTTGCCACTGTTTTGCCTTGAGGTTGCAGAACTGGGGGTTAGGAGAAGGTACGGGAGTAATAATGGGGAAAGTCATGAGAGTGGAACTGGGTGGCTGGGTGGAAGTCTTCTTATTCCACAGTGTGACTCTCCCTGTAACCACAAACATCTTGAAGCAGTAAATTCTAAATTTCATGAAATGCTTCAGGGTCAAGTCCTTACAGAAACTCTGGGAAAAATTCAAAGTAGCTCAAGAAGGTGCAAAGTCTTAGTGAAAATTGTGATTTTATCTAGATTTACTAAAGAACTGGGTGCCTCAGCTGTGAGCAAAAGTTACTAGTTTGGTCACCAGTCTTTAAAACTAAACCAAACCAAAGCAAACAACAAACAACAGAAAACATGTATCACTTTGAATTAAAATGACTCAATGAGAGAACATGTTGATGTCAAACAAAGGTAAAGTTCCCAGCTGAGGATCACTAGGCTTCTGCGGTCTTCCCAGATCCACTGCTACATGGTCACTGTGAGAACTGCTTGTGGCCTTGGGAGTGCACAAAGGCTGGTACTCTTCTTTATCCTGTCCCTTGTTTCTTTGCATCTGTCATAGTCGCTGCAGAATAGCAAGTCTATCACTCACAATGGCCACAAATCAGAACAGATGATCATTACAAACAACCCATGTGGACAGCAAATGCCAATTAATTATTAGATCTGGCTAGTCCAAACATGGGCTGTGCTGTTTCTCTGATTGCTAGCAAAGAAAGAAGAGGTGGGCTGTGGGCTAGACTTCAGGTAGCATGGAAGACTAGGGTTGGCCACTGACATTGGCAAATCTGGTAGGTTTTCAGAAAAATACCAGAGGGTGATTAGAGCATATGGGACATTCTAAAAACAGAAAGTCAAGTAAGTGGTACCCAAACCTCTCTAATTATTGGAATTACCTCATGGGTTAAATAAATACAGACGCTAGGCTCTATCTATGACCTATTGAAACTTTAGTCATGGGAGATGAGAAGATGCATTAAAAAGCAAAAATTCCCCATGTGATTTTGTTAATCATTTTGAGGAACAATTTATTTGAGGACACATTTCATAATTGGTCTTTACTTGTTGTTTTTGAAACTTTTGCTATTTCTTGGTGGAGATCCAGGACTGTTTTCTTGGTTACAAAGGTCAATTAGTCAAGCAATGGAATAAGTGGACCAAGCATTCAGGATTTATACTGTGTGTGTGTGTGTATGTGTGTGTATGTGTGTGTGTATGTGTGTGTGTGTGTGTGTGTGTAATGTATTTAAAATATGACTTAAGGTCTATAATTAAGCCCAGTGAAAATGTAGTATTTTAGTGTTTGGTTTTATGCTACATTTCATGTGTGAAATGATAATGATTATAATATAATAAAAATGATCATACTCAGAACCCATCTCAACAGTGTCAATTACGCATCATTGCCAAGTGCATGGCTATGGTAGGTTGCTTCAGTTTCTTTCTTTCCTTCTAGGTTGAGATAATTGCAATTTATTGTATTCTAAGCATAGTATCTTATAGACTTTTCAAATATTGAAAAAGACCAGTACAATTTGCATAATGACAATTGCCCTTTCCCCAGGTTTTCTCTCGTAGGGCAGCGATTTTTGAGTCCATAGATGGGCCAGTAGGAAGTCTATACTGAAATCAGCGTTGTGCCTGTAAGTTTGCTTGGGGATCACCTCAATAAACTCTGGGACATATACTTCTTTCTTCAGAAAAATCGGTCATATTTTTCTGGCATGGAGCCAGTTGTAAGACAAAGGACTATGTCACTGGTTATAGCACTATTTCTGAACTAAGCAATACAGAATGTTCTTAATTGACAGAAAGTGATAAAAAGTAAATATAATGACTAGATATCCATGTGTGCATCAGAGGCTCTGATGCAGATGAACCAGTGTTGGAGATTCTGTGATTGCTTTAAAAATAAACTCAAAATAATTTGAAAAAAACATAAAAGCTGCAATTCTCAATTAGGTGTCTTTAAAGTAAGTATTGGAATGGAAAGGAAATTTTAATTTAAAAAAATAAAAATTCCTAATAAAAAGTATATGTTTACTATGAAACACCTAAGTAAGAAATTATTTAATAGGCATTTCTTGGGAAACAAAACTTTAAAAAAATAGACACAAAAAGGTATAAATGGAATAATAAAATTTTGAAAGAATAAAAGTGTTGAAAAGTGTGCTTCAAATGTTCATTACCCAAAAAGAAACTGGGTTCCTTGTATCCAATTTTATTTTTAACATAAACTTGATCATATCATTTAGAATAGTGGGTCTCAACTTTCTGAAGGCACAAAACTTCATTTATTTTCCAGTAACCTCTACATAATTGTATCTGTACTTTTATCATGTAATGATTGTGGCAATGCATAATTAGAAAATCATAATGAATTTAATAGCACTTCAAATAATTGTTATTTCATAAATCAGAGCAGTGCATATGAATCATATAAATTTTAAAACAGTAGCAGCTATACGTGCAAGACATTTATGCAATCTATAGACATTGTTTGAGTATATATGCTCTGAAAATATGGATTCTTCTATCCCTTCTTGTATTAATTCTCCAAATCTCCAGGGTACTCATGGCCCACATATTTGGGATTATTATAGAGTAAAAACAAGAATAATGAATGATTTGTTAACCTCCCCCAGAAATGTGTCATCAAAGGCCTCCAGGCTGAAAAGTATTCTCTCCTACTGAGGTCTGCACTGAGCACCACTTACATCCGATGGAGCCCATCTTGCTGACCTGGATCCCTGGCCACATGTGTCTGAACAGTATGATGTGGAAGAGAGCCAGAGAAGGGGAGCCAGTTGCTAGTGCTGAATGAGGATTTGGGGCTAATCATTTTGTCTCCCTTTTTATTTGCTAAATTAAGACTCCAATGCTCTTGTTATTATCCTGTTATAGGATACTGAGAGGAATAAAGTTAATAGGAAGGAGCAATCAGAAAGCTTTGGCTGAAAAGAATGATTTAAACCACTGGAGAAAACTTGTCCAATTATGAAGAAAGAAGTGGAACCGATGTAAACGTTTGGGTTTTTCTGTTTGTGTAAATCAATGACAAGGGGTCTGGAGCATGCAATTTTCTTCCACGTATGTTATTCTTTCACAAGCAGATAGAAATAAAGGCACCCAGCCTGCAAGAGAAAGTTTGGAATAGCGGGTCTGAAATAACTCTGCTTGTTGTTTACCCTCTCCTGTGGCTAGCCTGACCTATAAATCATGCTTTAGATTCCGGCTGAACCTCCCCCAGTGCTATGCAATACTCGGTACTCAGTGGTGTGTAAAAATTCTTTGGAAGTTGCTTAGATGAATATATAATAACTTTTCATACATTCAAAATACCATTTATTTAACTCACAAGAGAGGAACTCTAATCATGGCAATATTAAGTACTATAATGAACCACAGGGTAGCAGATGGGCCCTGGGGTAAACAGTTTCTGTACTATTGATTTACTTATTTGATTTCCTTGTGAAACGTTCATGACCTGAACCATTGCTGTAGAATACAAATGCAGGTTTTCTATCCAAGTCAGGCATTAAGATTATTTCTTTAAAAGAATCTGAGTGTTCTCTGGCAAGCCAAATGAAGACTAGTTAGTGTCTTGGGCCCTGGAAGTCAGTGTTTTGCAGTTTGATCAGGTTTGTGAGAATGATTTCTCTATAGAGAGTGCCACAACTTCTATCAAGACACCATCCATATTATTTCATTTCTAGAAACTTCCATTTAGAGCTCACTATCTGCATGACATTCTGTTGCATATATGTTTGTGATCTGAAGATAGCAAGATATGATTCCTATCCTCAAAGAAATACACAATATTTACAATAGCCATATGGCTACAGAAGACAATCAAACATATAAGATGCAAGCTTAAATGCCTCGGGGCCCAGGCAGAGAGTGTCAATGTGTGGAAGCTGCCTGCTATACGACAATAGGGAGTGATGGGGACTGTGCCCGACTGGGACAGTTCAAATTCATATTTAAAAACACTGCTCTGCTGGTCAAGGAAAAACATACATGGGGGTACATTAACTCTTGAACTCTTTTTGGGTGCACATACTCTTGTTCCAGTGTCTAGCAGCTATGTGAAGTTGACTTAATTGACACAATTTTGCAAATAAGATAGAGGCTCTACAAGGTCAAGGTCTTGGCCAAGGTGACTCAGTTAAGTAGGAGGGCAAAGATAAGAAGTTGAAATTCTATGGACCCAAGCCTGGTTATTTTTTTAAAAAACTAGCAGGGGCAGGAAAAAGCCAGAAATGGTAACTAATTATTTTGCATGTACTCACTTTTCTGATATCTGACTCATTATTCAAGGGCTCCTCCAGTGAATTTGTCTTGCCAGTTTCCCCATATTTTCATACAGCATTAAAGAACACAGTAAATGTGAGTGATCCTTCATAATCAACATGCTTCTGATATGTCAGGGGTCTCTAGGTTACATTCAATATATTCATGGATTTGCTTTCCAAAGACAGGATGATGTTGCTGGGTAAAACAGATTCATGAAAAAAGGGAGCTTCTACCCTCTGAGCAGGCTGGTCTATCCGGAGTGGACTCAACACAGAGCTACAGATTTCTAGGGATTTCTGAGCAGGATGCCCAAAATGAGTATAGGACTTGAGGTCTTATCTTCAGGTCAAACAAAAATATGGACTTTGGAATTAAGAAAAGCTAGATACAAAACCTCTGGTCCTGGGTGACTTCGAGGAATCTGATTAAACCTTTGATATCAACTTTGTTGTTTGAAAATGAAGAAAAATATATCATGGGGGTTAAATAAGTGCATATAGTTAAGCCAGGTGTTGAGTGCAGTTATTAATATTAGTGAATCAAAGGTATTCAATAATGCTGGTTCTCATCTCTCCATCTTTCTTTCCCCCAGCTTTGTATCCAGTGGAGGAGGCTTGGGCCCATGCTGGTAAAATGAGAAGTTAGGGGAGGATGTCCTCAGAGAACTGGAAGATCACGGTCCTCATTGTCACAACCCATACAGTGTTGATAGGGACAACATATGCCTTGGAATGTTTCAAATACTTTGCCACAGTTAAGGGACACCGAACAGCAGCTCAGTTTTGGAAAACAAAGTGGAATTTCTGGAAACTGCTAGCATAAAAGCTTTGACAGGGTCGCATGCAGATTAGCATAATTTTTATTACATTTTCTATTTTAGTACTGTGAGATACTAATTTGGATTTCATTGTGCCCATTGAGCGGCTTTTGTTCTTTGGCTGTGAGTTTAATTATTTAGTTATTTATGAGTGCATCTGGGCATAAGTGCCACAGTTTTATTTCGGTGACAAATTTATGGTCAGTGAATTTTAGTAATTAATGAATAAATTATTTCTCCTCCATAAATGCCTCTGCAATTTGTGATTTTCATAACAATTCATAATACTTAAGAAAAGTTCTTTATTAGTTGAAAAAGCCAATGCTAATGGAATCAGGAAAGGGAGATTTCAAATTGCTTTAATTAACTGTATTAATTAGTATCCAACATGTGTAAGATATTGAATTGGCTTTAGTTGTCTCTCTTAGCATTTAGTTGCCTAAAATCTGTCTAAGATATGAATATACTGTGTTAAAATAAATTCTAATTCTTTTGTGAAGTAAATGGCAAGAATAAAAGGCTCTCCTTTATAATCTTTAATTCATGGTGTACCCTCGAGTCCTTGAAATTTGCCAAAGATAAAAAATTTGCATATATAAACAAATGCATATATCAGCATTCTAAAAAAGAAAATCATAAGCCACTTTGTAATGTGATTTGAAGGAATTAGGGAAGTTTACAACAGTTTGTATGTTTCAAATTTTTTTTTTTTTTTTTGAGACGGAGTCTTGCTCTGTCACCCAAGCTGGAGTGCAGTGGCGCGATCTCGGCTCACTGCAAGCTCCGCCTCCCGGGTTCAGGCCATTCTCCTGCCTCAGCCTCCCAAGTAGCTGGGACTACAGGCGCCGCCACCACACCGGCTAATTTTTTGTATTATTAGTAGAGACGGGGTTTCACCGTATTAGCCAGGATGGTCTCCATCTCCTGACCTCGTGATCCACCCGCCTCGGCCTCCCAAAGGAGGGATTACAGACGTGAGCCACCACACCCGGCTTCAAATTTTTTTTGAAGCAAAATCAACACAAAAAAATTCGTTAAACCCTATTATCCACAAATCACTGCACTAAGTGGAGTGGGGCAAGAAATGATGAATAAGAATAATCCCCACCCTTCTGGAGCTCACGGTTGAGTGAGGAGGATGGAAGACACAGTTATTCGAATAATTAAGGGAGTTTGCAAGAATGTATGAATATGAGCGTGTATAGAACTAGTCCTCACCAAATGCTCTGAAACAGAGCCATGCTCCTTCGTTTTGTAGGGCGTGATTTAAGTTTTACTCTAGAAATATCAAACCACAGACTGTTTCCTTGAGGACAGGGATTCTTGTAGGTTTTTTCTTGATTTTTCTCTTTTCCCTCACAACAATATCCATTCCATCAATAATTCCTGTCACCTCTACTTTCAAAATATGTACAGTCATGCATCGCTTAATGAAGGGGATAAATTCTGAGAAATTCATGGTTAGGCAATTCTGTTGCTGTGTGCCCATCCCAGAGAGGACTTAACACAAACCTAGATGGTATAGTCATCTATGCACCTAGGCTGTATGGTGCAGCCTGTTGCTCCGAGGTCACAAACCTATGCAGCATGTTACTGTACTGAATACCGTGGGCAACCATAACACAATGGTAAGTATCTGTGTATCGAAACATAAGAAAGGTACAGTAAAAATACCCTATAAAAGATACAGAATGATATGGGACCCTTTCCATGAATGGAACTTGCAGGACTGGAAGTTGCTCTGGGTGAGTCAGTGAATGAGTAGTGAGTGAATGTGAAGGCCTGGGACATTGCATTACTGTAGACTTTCTAAACACTGTACAGTTAGGATATACTCAGTTTATTTAAAATGTTTTTCTTTCTTTAATAATAAATTAACCTTAGCTTACTGTAGCTTTTTTTACCTCATAAACTTAAATTTTTAAATTTGTTGACTCTTTTGTAATAAAATTTAGTTTAAAACACAAATACATTGTACAGTTTTACAAAATATTTTCTTTATCTCCTCCTCCTCCTCCTCCTTCTCCTTCTCCTCCCCCTCCTCCTCCTCCCCCTCCCCCTCCTCCTCCTCTTCCTCCTCCTCCCTCTTCCTCTTCCTCTTCTTCCTCTTCTTTCTTCTTCTTTCTTCCTCTTCTTTCTCCTTCTTCCTCCTTCTTCCTCTTCTTCCTCTTCTTCTTCTTCTTCCTCCTCCTCCTCCTCCTTCTCCCTCCTCCTCCTCCTCCTCCTCCTCCTCCTTCTTCTTCTTCTTCTTCTTCTTCTTCTTCTTCTTCTTCTTCTCCTTCTCCTCCTCCTCCTCCCCCTCCCCCTCCCCCTCCCCCTCCCCCTCCCCCTCCCCTCCTCTTCTTCTTCTTCTTCTTCTTCTTCTTCTTCTTCTTCTTCTTCTTCTTCTTCTTCTTCTTCTTCTTCTTCTTCTTCTTGTTTCACTCCCATTGCCCAGGCTGGAATGCGGTAGCACAATCTCTGCTCATTGCCTCAACTTCCCGAGCTCAGGTGATCTTCCCACTTCAGCCTCCTGAGTAGCTGGGACTACAGGTGCATACCACCACACCTGGATAATTTTTGTATGCTTTATGTAGAGACAGGGTTTCACTATCTTGCCCAGGCTGATCTCGAACTCCTGAGCTCAAGTCATCTGCCCTCCTTGGTCTCCCAAAGTGATAGGATTACAGGCGTGAGTCACTGTACCCAGCCTATGTCCTTATTCTATAAGCTTTTTTCTCTTTTTAAATTTATTATTTTTTTACTTTTTAAACTTTTTTGTTAAAAACGATGACACAAACACACATGCTAGCCTAGGCCTACACAGGGTCAAAATCAGGATCGTCACTATCACTGTCTTCCACTTCCACATCTTATTCTACTGGAAGGTCTTCAGGGGCAATAACACACATGAAGCTCTCATCTCCTACAAAAACAATGCCCTCTGGAATGCCTCCTGAAAGACCTTCCTGAGACTGTTTTACAGTTAACATTTTTTAAAAATAATAAGTAGAGGGAATACACTCTAGATGATAAAAAGTATAGCATAGTAAATACATAAATCAGTAACAGTCATTTATTGTCATTTTCAAGTATTATGTACTTTACATCATTGCATGTGCTAGATCTTTGTACAACTGGCAGCGCAGTAAGTTTGTTTCCATCAGCATCATCACAAACGTGCTTAATGTGTTGCACTATGATATTATCATGGCTATGATGTCATGATGGCTACAACGTCACTAGGTGATAGGAATTTTTCAGCTTCATACTAATATTATGGGACCACCATTGTCTATGCGGTCTGTTGTTGAACGAAATGTTGTTATGCGGCTCATGACTGTACGGAGTCTGTACACTTCTACCACTGGTCTACAGCCTAAGCCTCTGCCAAGACTTTCTGTCTCTTTTTGATGCTCCCCAGTCAATTCTCCACCCAGTAACCTCAATGTTTCCCTCTCTGATCCAGTCATGTAGGATTTTTTGTTTCTCCAACATGCCCACTCTTATTCCCGACCCAGGGCCTTTGTTCTTACTCTTCTCTCTGCCAGGATCATTTTCCTCCAGATCCTCTCATGCCTCATTTTTTACCTCATTTGAGTCTCTCTCTACTCAAATGTTACCTTCTTAGGTTTACCTGACTCTTTAAAACAACTTCCCTATCACCTCCACCAGACCAGTTTTTCCATGCTCAGCGTTTAAGCAGAAAATCTTGATCTGTCTGTCTGTATGTCTTTCTGTCTGTCTGTTGATTTGTACTGTTTTTCCCTCTCTCTCTCTCTCTAGTTGTTGCTGGAGCTTAATGTCCACAGCGCAGCAATCAGGAGAGAAGAATGAATGTAATATGGGTATATGGTAGAGTGATCAGGGGCTAACTGGAACCCACAAGCATGTGCTGAAACTCATGAAGATGGACTGAAACCTGTGTTGTTGTTGTTGTTGTTTTTGCCTTTGACTTTGCAAAGAGGATATCATGCAGAAACAAAGGCCCTTCCTCAAGGAGCTAAACACACACACATGGCCAAGGAGTCAACCTGGCCCAGATATTGAAGAAGCTGAAGGAGGACTGGGGAAGGTAGTCCTGGCTGCTGCTTTATGCCAGTGAGGTCAGAGCAGGACCAACGTGTGCGAGCTACGAGAGGCTGCTGCCTCCCTCTTTTCTTTACATCCCCAAGAATCTTCCTTTTGACCTAGCCAGAAATACACAAGAAATGGAATTCTGGGAAATGGAATTCAGCCCAGCCAAACTGACATAGTACAAAGCCATCACAGCACCTGCAGTAGGTGCTATTTATTTGTTTCATGAAAGCAGGTATTTTTCTAGTGTGCAACAGAATAGTACTTGGCACATAGTTGCTATTCAAGAAATATTTATTGAATGAATATTATATCTAAAGACATCTGGTCTGAGGACAGGAGCCATGTTCAAATCAAGAGGTTGGGAGAGCAGGCTAAGTCAACTGGCAATGCTGGTTTATGGAATGAGCTGGACCCTATTTAGAGACTGAGCAGGAAGCAACTCCCTCTTTCTCCTGCTGCCCCTTCAAACATACTGTCAGGGGCCAGGTCTTCCCGTCACTAGACAAAACTTTGGCAAGTCCCTCTATATTCTTCAGCCATAACAGCAGACTCATTCAAGAGAGACTACAGTAAGTCTTTAAACTTTTAACCAGGATAAAGCTTCCCCTCACCCCAGGTTGGTCCTGCTTTGAGCATGAAGTCTGTGGTGAGGGAGGAGGGCATTGCCAGCTTCTCTTCTCAGCCCTTCCTCTCCCACTTCCCTTTTACTGGAGGCTGGTTTGTCCCTCCAGTGTTGAGTCATGCAGTACAGGGGATTAGGGAAGAAGGCTGTTGACTTCTGGGCGGGTGTGAGTGTAAACTGAAGTCCTTGCCCTCTGGATGCAAGACTGTGATGTATTTTCTGGTTCTTTCTTTCATTAGAGCTTTTGAGGGTTTTCCGACTGTCTTTCCTGCACAGAACTGCCAAGCAAAATTCTGATAATAATGCCTTCTCTTGCTGGTAGCTTTGGGAAATGTGCACCCTGCCTGCTGTTACATGTTCTTTGCTCACCTTTGCAGGTCCATCAGTTCCTCAGCCTTCAGACTGTGGAAGTGAGTTGGATCCAAACCTCTACAGCCCTCACACCAGAGGATGTGCCAGGCTCTCCAGGGGGAGCCCTTCTATGACTGGAAGTTGGGGGAAGCAACCCCCTCTTTTACTCTGGAGGGAGAGTTGTGCACACAGCTCTCACACG